CCGGGCAGGGCCTGGCCTCCGCGCCTCGCGTCGGGACCTGTCCTTTTCCCCATTCTCCATTTGACCGTGAACGCGGAAATTTACACGCTTTATGGAGCGGACATTTAGTGCTCTCCGGAGGCATCTCCACGAGGTCCCCACGCGCCCTGAGACCGGCAGATGCACGAACCTACCACCGGAGGGGCGGACAGCCCCTCTTGACGAGGAGCGAATAGAACGGGGAAAAGTTAGGTTTTCGCAACTGGGTGCCATGGGGCCGCTCAACCAAATGAAAGGAGCAGATCGAGAAGGTGGTGAGTGAGAGAAAAGTATCCAGAGAGACAGAGACCGGGACAGACACACCGACAGTGGGTGACAGATTGAGGAGGAGATACCAAAGAGAAGGGGGGGGGGCGATAAAAGTCAGAAAAGCAAACTGGGGTCGAGGTAGAGACAACCTCAAGGAAAAGGAAAACAGACGGAGGACAGCGAGGGAGAGCGGTCCAAGGGATGCGGCCCGACTCCAGGCAAGACCCCCCTCAACTTGGGATCCCGGCCCCACGCGCGCCCCGGGAGCCGGGAGCCGCTTGGCCGCCGGGCCAGGGCTTCGACTCTGCTCGGGCCACGTCTCCCTCCGCGCTGCCGGACTCTCCCAACTCAAAGCCTTTCTTCCCGGGCCCAGCCGGGCCATGCGAGCCGTGGCACGGCCGACCCCGTCCTGGCCCGACCTCCTGGGTCCGCAATCAGCTCCCACACTCGCCATCTGAACACGGCGGTGTTGGCGAGCTCCCCACTCCCCGGCCAGGGGGGTCCTCTTCTGCGTTCATTTTTTAATCCACCGCCGAGTGTTTCTCTACGCGTTTTTAATCTCTATTTATTTCTGTTTCGCATCCCTAAGTGACTTTCTCTGAGAGGTTCTGTTTGCTTGGTTAAAAAAAAATAGTCAACGCTGGACTGTACTTTTGTTTTCAAAAGTTTTAAGCATGGCCTTTGCTTGGTTTTTATTTTTAAAACCCAGAGAAATATGTCGTTATAGGTTGCTTTTTTAAAACGAAATCTGTGAGCATAAAATTAAATTTTAACTGTATTTTTCGATACAGAAAGAAGTACTACCGTAGGTATATTTCTCTGGAATTTAAAATACCTACATGCAACATTATTCTTTGGGAGATTTTTTAAAGCCGATCCAAAATGGCGCGTTTCTCGGGTAGTTTTTCAAAATCCATTTACAGGAGTGTTGCTTGGGGAATTTAAGTTATCTGACTATAGTGTTGTATTTCCCTGGGATTTAAAAATTACCTCAGAAGGACATTACTGCGCAGGGGTTAAAAAGCTATCTACAACAGCACATTGATTTGTAAACCCCAGAGGAGTAAGTGCCGGTGCCTCCTGGAGTTTGTACACGCACAGCAGTGCATTCAGTCAGGGGTGTGTTTGTGGCTTCTTACTTTACATCTGCTCTGTGTTCCTACTTGACTATTTTTAAGAGTTTCTGACCCTTTCTATGCGTGTAGGCTTAGAGCTGTGAACTTTTTTAGGCTTCTGTGTTTTGCTTCTAAGTTCTTTTTTTATGTTTCACTGTTTCTATGACTGCGTGTGTTTTGTAGCGACAAGGGAGAGAGGCTAGAGCTCCAGGTCACCTAGACAGTCTGTCAGTCTGGGCTGCCGGGGCTGCGGCTGGGCCTCCGGACGCGAGGCCTGCAGCTGAGGCCGAGAACAAGACTGTGTCTGCCTGCCCGGAGGGGCTCCCGGGCAGCCCTGGGGAGAAGAAAGTGGAGGGCTGCAGGCCATACCACCTAGTTCATGCTCCACTGACCAGCTAGCTTCAGGCTAGAAAAATTAGATCCTAGCTCAGAAAAGCAGAGACCTCCCTTAAATTTAGACTGACTCTTGCAAGTCAATTGCCGCTGACATTAGCAGCTGGGCTCAAGCCTAAACCAAGCTTGGAGAGCAGGCCCTGCCCTGCCAGGAGCCTAGGCCCGCGGCTCGGCTCCTCTACTCCAGGCACCCAGACCAGAGGTGACTACCGACGACCAGGCAGCTCGGGCTCTCCCCAAATGGGGACGATACCAGGGCCCCTGGCGGGAGGGAGGGCCGCCAGCGCCGATGGCGGGTTCTTCGGTGGAGCCGGGATGGGTACAAAAGGGCATAAGCCCAAGGTGAGGACGGGTACAAAAGGGCATAAGCCCAAGGTGATGAAGCGTCCCGTCCTGCCTGCTTCAGAGAAGGAGCGCAGCGGGGAGCCCAAGGGGCCTGAGGACAGCGGTGCTGGCGGCGCGGGCTGCGGAGGCGCGGAGGACCCCGCCAAGAAAAAGAAGCAGCGGCGGCAACGCACGCACTTCACAAGCCAGCAGCTGCAAGAGCTGGAGGCCACGTTCCAGAGGAACCGCTACCCCGACATGAGCATGCGGGAGGAGATCGCCGTGTGGACCAACCTCACGGAGCCGCGCGTGAGGGTGAGTCGGGGCGCATGCAGGCGGCCGGCGGCGCGGCCTCTGCCGCAGCCCTCGAAAGCTTAGACTCGCGCTCAGACTTTCACTTTCCCACCACTCAGACCTGCTCCCTCTCTCCACCGTAGCAGATTCCACCCTAAGCCCAGTCTGCCCAGTTGCCGCCAAGCCCTTTGGCCGCTAGCACCCTCGGCGGTCGGTCCTTCAATCCCTCTGACCCGCATCCTACCTGACCCTCGGGCTCTACTGCAGCCCAGTCCAAAGACCTGTGGCCCCAGGAAGCGTTCCCCGCCCTGGAGGGCCCAGGGCCCACTCGGATGGGACCACCCTGGACAGCGCAGAGGGTTCCCTGCCGCTGGGGACCTCAGAGTGGCCGGCGCCTCCCCCGGAAAACGGAAAACGAAAGGGAAAGGCGGGTCACCCCTTCCTGGTAGCCTTCGAGAGGCCCGAAGGGTGCCTAAGCTCCGGGTCTCAAAAATTTCTGGGATGGTGGTCCCATTCTTACCGGCTTCTCCAAAATCTCTGGAATTCTCCACCTGACTCCTCCCAGCTATTCAACCAGTCAGTAGCTGGGCCCTTTCCCTAATTCCCTTTCCTGTAGCTGGGGTCACAGGGGGGGCTGGGCGGGGGAGGGGGGGAGGCAGCTCTGGGGG